GGCGGGGAGGCGGCGGCCGGCGCCAGGCGGCCCGGGAGCCCTGGGCGGCGGCGGCGGGCGGGGCGGACGGGGATCGGAGGGGCCGGGGCGCAGGAGCCCTGCCACCGCCGCCTCCGCCCCTGCGCGCTCGAGTAACGAGTTGCCTGCCTCCTCCAACAGACTCCCGAGTGGCGCCCTCCCGCCGGTGCCAGAACCGGGCCATGGGGGGCAGCGTGCTGGCGCGCGCCGCCTGAGGACGTCGTAACACCCGCCCCAGCTATGGGCGCCCCGGCTTGCGCCCTCGCGTTCTTTGTGGCCGTGGCAGTCGTGATGACCGGCGCCGTCTCCGGGTCCCCGGGCATGGAGCAGCGCGTCGTGCGGAGAGCAGCAGGTACGGAAGGACCCGACGGGTACTGGGGAGGGGCACGGGGCCCCGGCAGGCAGAAGCGTCGGGGCCGGGGAACGGGCGCCTGGGTGGGTGTGGGGTCCCGGAGATCTGAGTGGGCCCCAGGGCTTGCTCTGGGCTGGCATAGCGGGGCCAGCGTCCGGCTTTCTGCCGCCCTCCCTCCCCGGGGATCGGGGCCAGAGCTGGCGCGGCAGTTTGTGGGGCGCCTGGAGCCGCAGGGCTGCCACCCAAGTGCGAGGCTGCGGCGGCGAGCCGGGCACCGCGGTGGCGTCCGCAATCCCCGCCCCCAGCGGTTCCCCAGTGGGGCGCAGCCTGCTCCCGGGCGCTGTCGGGAGGGCTCGGGGACTGCGTTTCCACGATTCCCATTGTTCCGCGGGTTCTGCACTGACGGACAGTTTCTGCTGTTGGTGCCTCTCCCCCAGCCCCCTTCGGGCCCCAGTTCGTGGCCAGCTTCAGCCAAAGCGAGAGGTTGGACTTTGGAGGGAGGGTATGAGAGTGCGTCAGCCCGGGGCCGGGCCCCAGCCCCTCAGTGGCCTGCATGACCAGGTGACACCTAGTGCCTCCGTTTCCCCCCACCCAGCTCTCATGCCCTGTGAGTTAAGATGACTGCCCCCAGGGGTGTGCAGCGAACGCCAGGCGGGGGCCGGGAGGTGAGAGGGCGGATGTCCGAGCGATGTGGAGCCGCGGAACCCTGCTGGCGGTCAAGGTCCAGCGGGACGTCGAGGGTCTGCGAGGAGGGCCCGTAGAGCCTGGGCAGGGGCGGGGCGGGAGCGCGTCTTGGCACCGGGCCCTGACCCGCACACGCACAAGGCCCTCGAGGTGCAGCGCGCGCTGACCCACGCTGCGCCCGGCCGAGCGCTCAGGGTGCCCACGCCCCGCACACGCGCTGCCAGGCCCCCGGCGGCGGCCGGGCAGAGAGGGGAAGCCGGGTAGGAGGCCGTAGGGAGCCCGCCCCCTGGAGACCGCCAACTCCGGGACGCTGGCGAGAACCGGCGCGGGCGAGGGGGCTGCGCACACCGCTGTCCGCAGCCCGGCGGCGGCGCGGAGGGAGGCCTTCGCCCGGTGAGCTCACGCCCCACCCGGGCGAGACCCGAACAGCCGCTCCTTTGTACCTCGGCGCGGCCACAGACCGCGCATTGATGGCGGCCGGGCCTCGCGGGGAGGTGTGAGTCGAGCGGCTGCGGGCGCGCAGTGCCAGGGAGGCGGCGAACGCGGGCTGGACGGAGGCAGATGGCGGCCCGCCCCTCCCTGCGTCCCCCGCGCCCCTTCCTCCGGCGGTGGCTGCGGCCTCCCGGAACAATGTCATTTTTTTATGAATGAAAGTGGGCTCGGCGCTTGAATGTGCGTGTCATTCAGCGGCGTGACAGAGGCCGTCGGGAGGTCAGGGCGCGCTTTTAGCGCTTGCTAGGGCGGCCCCCGCTTCCAGGGGCGCAGAATAGGCGGCCGCGGGGGGAGCCCTGAATTAGCATTCGCATTCAGATAAAGATATTACTCCCTACGGCCGGGGAATGTCAACTAGCCCCGGGGGAGGGGGCGGTGGGCGGAGCTCCAGACCTCCCGGACCCCCTGCGGCGCGGAGGTGGGGCAGTGGCCCCCTCCTTCCCCGCCTCGGGGAACTGGCAGAGCCCTCACCAGATGCGGGCCTGGGGTAGAGCGTCCTGAGGACCCCCCCCCGGGGCTGGGGTGCCCGTGCACCGGGGCCCCTGTCCCCGCAGTAAAGTTGGTGAAACAGGTAGTGAGTTGATAGGTCAATAAACCTAATCCGGTTCCTGAAGGAGCTGGGCCACCAGCCAGGCAGTGAAAATACAAAGGCCTCGTGAAATTTACAAAGGTCCCGGCCTGGCACTTTCCCGGGGAACATAAATTACGGAGCCGGAGCTGGCGGGGGTCACGGACACTGGGGAAGGTGTCCGCTGCTGGACTGCCGTGGCCACCCCAGGCCCCGCCAGGGCGGCGTCCATCTCCATACGAAGCCACTGGCAGGGGCCCCTGCCAGGCAGGAAGGTTGATGGGGGCCCACCCGGCCGGGAGGGGCCTGGGGGGGGTGCAGGGCGCTTCCCAGGAAGGCGCTGGCTGCACCCTCCCCCACCTGCTCCTCCTCAGGGCTGGACTTTGAGCCCCACGGGCCTCTGGGTGGTTCATTAACCTGGGCTGAGCCTGAGGCTGGACTTCTGGCCTCTGAGCCCCTGCACTGAGCCAAGGATGCCCCCGCCCCCCCAGGCCCTCAAGTCCCACCTGGGGCCCTATCTGGGGCCTGGTGCGCCCCACTTTACAGTTGAACCTAGGGAGGAGCTAGGGGTCTCCTTGAGGAAGTAGGCGGGGGGTCTGCCCAGGCACCGGTTTGGGGGAGCGGGTGGCCAGGCCGGCCTGAGTGATTTACAGGTGAATGAACGGTGAGGAGCCTCTTCAGGCTGGGGGACCAGGGGCTCCCTGACCCCAGGCCCTGCTGGGCCCGAGGCTGCTGGCTGCCCACCCTGGTTCTGGTTGTTTTCCTGCAGCCTCAGTTTCCTCGCCTGTGCAGGATAACGGAAGGGTTGTTGGAGGATTAGTCTGGATAATCCTGTAAGCCCTCATTAGCCCGCCAGGCCTCCGGATCCCACCCCTTTCTTTTTCTCACTTTGTTACGAAACTTTTCATATTGTTTCCGGGTGGGGAGGTGACCGGGGAGGCAGGAAGGCCATGAACTCAGGGTCCCTTTGGGGCGCGCCTCCCGGCTATTTAAAGCATGTACCTGGCCTCAGAGAGCTTCACCCACATGCAGAACCAGAGGGCTTTGCTCTTCCTCTGTCGTCAGCTCCAGGCACTTCCTCTGAATCGGGTCTGGATTTGATGCTTGTTCCCTGGGGTCTCCTCCAGGCCCCTCTCATGGAGGGTGGCCCGACCCCTGCACACCCCACGTGCATTGAGCGGGTCTCAACTGTAGTGACCCCAAACCGGGAGCGAGTTTCCCCCAGCAGGGGTTGCGGCCCTCCTGAGCAGACTGGCTCCACTCCGGCTGCGGCCTGGTGGACATCAATCCTGGGGTGTAGCCCCGGGGCAGGGGGGGTCTCGAACCCCCTATTTTCACTGGCTCCAGTGCTTTAACTGCTTGTGGTGGCCCTCCTGGCCTGCCAGTGGGGGAAATTGAGTCACGGGGCCCGTGAGTGGCAGAGTCAGGAGGATTCTGGGCCTGGGAGACGTGCCCGAAGGCCCGGCTTGGCCCCTCCAGGACACAGTACCCCTTGGCGGCCCCCTCACCGAGCTCAGGCCTTTGGCGGGGGTGCAGGCTGGAACAGGTAATGTGGGACCCACGGGGGCGGACATTCCGCCTCTGCTCACCCCCGCATGGCACGTGGGCACCCACCATGGCACAGAGGACATTTGTCTTCCGACGTGTGTGGCGCCAGTGCCTGAGTGGGTGTGGATGGGGCCCCCTTTTGTTGATCAAGAAAGCCTCCTTCCTGAGGCCCTTGTGGTGGGAGCCGAGTAGCCCACAGCATGTGCCCTCACCGCCCCTAGGCAGAGTGCCCCCTCGGGCCCTGCCCGTCACTCTGTGTCCCCCCGCCTGATGCCACTGCCATCCCCCGCCCCTGGCATTGCCTGGTCTCCCCCGGGTCCTCTGTGGCACAGAGTGGATTGGATCTACAGGAAGTGGAGGTGCTACTGCCGTCCCTGCCCTGGTCCGGAGGTCCCTGGCCGCTACGGCCACCTAGTGGGGCAGGGTACTGGGCAGGTCAGGGGCCGGCCCTCGAAAGAGTGCAGGGCCTCCTGCGTCCCAACACCGGCCAGTGGCTGCTGGCCATGGCTGGCCCGGGGGCCGTGCTGGGTCCTCCCAGCCCCCTGCTGGACCAGGTTGAAGCGAATACTTGTGCGGATGGCTTGACCTGCCTTTGCCGCCCAGACCAAACCGGAACCAACCACTGTTGCCCTTGGGCCGGGGCCTGGGGCTGAGGCAGCCACAGCCAGCCTGTTCTCGGCCTTCTGGGGGGCCTCAGCCGGCTCCCGGCACTGGGTGGTCCCCACATAACACCGTGGCCAGGACTGGGGGGTCTGGAAGTCAGGCCAGGACCCCCTGGCTGTGGGGACCCTGGGAATGCAGACCCCATGGGCACTTCAGGGGCCCTTCTGGTGGGCGCCGAGCTTGTGGAACCTCCTGAGGTGCGGGGCAGAATGGGGCCTGTCAGAGGAGCCAGGGACTGGCGTGGCCAGAATGGGCAGCTGGGCCCTCGAATCTAGGCCGTGCGTCGGCAGAATGACAAGTAACGGTGTGACCAACCCAGCTGGGTCTGCGTGGTGGGACCACCCACCCCTGTGCCGGGCCCAAAGCCCAGGCTGCCTGCCTGCGCCCTGCATTGTCCAGCTCTGGCAGGGAGACCTGGGGGGGGGGCTGGTCAGCCCCTGGGTCCCAGGCCTTGTTGGCCCCTTGGGATCTGGGCAGCCAATGGTCAGGGGAGGGGCGCAGGGGCCACAGTGGACATCCGCCCTCGGCAAGGACCCTCCACCCCGACTTCTCGGCACCTGCGGGGAGAGGTGGGCCGGGCCTCCTCAGCCTGGCCTGGCGGTGCCTGCTCTGGCCTAGCCGCCAGCCGAGTCTGCAGTCTTCCTCCCCTCGCCTGTGTCCTCATCTGTAAGATGAGGGGTCCTAGGTCCCCTCACCCCACTGGCCTGTGAGGCCCCACTGGCCAGAACTGGTACCGTGTCTATGTATTTTTATTCTCCTTCTGGGTATGTGTTCTCTCTAATTTACTGCTGAGGTGTAGTCTGAGTCGGGGTTCAGGCTGTTCATGCCCCCGAGAGCCTCCACTCTGGGCTGGCCTTGCCTGCGTCAGCTTGGAGCTGTTCTGGAAGGCTTGGGGGTGTTGTCTGACTGCGGCGCTCCCTTCTGGTGCTGGGCAGGTCCCGAACTGGTTTTGAAGCCAAGGTGAGGGGTGGGGGGCACCAAGTGGGAACCCCTCCTGGGATGAATTGTCTTGTCACTACCCCGGTTGTCCCCACCTCTGAGCCTCTGTTTTAGCTGAGGTTGGCCAAACACAGCACACCTACCTCCTGCTTTGCTGCTGCCCGTGAGGTCGGAGCGAATGTTGCATTTCTAAATCACTGAAAAGAATCAAAGGAAAATTGGACACTCTGAAACTGGAGTGTTCCGTGTCTACAGACAGTGCTGGACTGGAGCGGCCCCTCCCGCTTCCTCGCGTGTCCTCTCCGTAAGCGCTACCACGGCAGGGTCGTCCTCGGGACGGAGACCTGGTGGCACTACGAACGGTGCCCGCGCCCCGGCCCTGTGGGACAGTCGGCAGGACCGCAGGCTCTTCCGTCTCCTGGGCCCACCTCAGCCCCCACAGGCCCCAGACGGCCCCCGGCTGCAGCCTCCCCCCGGCGCGTGCGGTGCCACAGTGCAGGGTGCAGAGCCCCCGGCACCCCTGGTTTGGGGGGGCGCCTGCCTCATGGGCCCCCATCTTGCCCGCAGAGGTCCCGGGCCCTGAGCCTGGCCAGCAGGAGCTGGTCTTTGGCAGCGGGGACACCGTGGAGCTGAGCTGCCACTGGCCCGCGGGGGCTCCCTCAGGGCCCACGGTCTGGGTGAAGGACGGCGTGGGGCTGGCGCCCTCAGACCGCATCCTGGTGGGGCCGCAGCGGCTGCAGGTGCTCAACGCCTCTCATGAGGATGCCGGGGCCTACAGCTGCCGCCAGCGCCTCTCGCAGAGCGTCCTGGGCCGCTTCACTGTGCGCGTGACAGGTAGGGCCTGCTGGGGCCCACGGCGCTCCCGAGGGTCCTGGTGGTCTCGGGCGAGAGGAGGCCCCCGGGAGGCGCCGTCGGAGAGAGGGACCCCTGCCTGCTTGCAGGGCCACCTCCCATATTTCCCTCTCGCCTGCGCTACAGATGCTCCGTCCTCAGGAGACGATGAAGATGGGGAGGACGAGGCTGAAGACACAGGTGAGACTGGGTTCCAGGCACGCAGGGCTGCCCTGGGCTGCCCAGGGCTGGGGACCGACCTCCCACTGGGGCCCTGCTCACCAGGCAGGGGAGAGACCGAGGTCTGGGGGCCACCTCCGTGGGGGCCCCTTAGTGTGGGGTGGCGGCGATGCGTGCCCAGCTCTGGGCTCCGGGTGGCAGGTGACGGGTGGGATGGGGCACCGTGCTGTGGGGAGGGGACCCCGGGGCTCCAGGAGCAGCCGGGGGGCTGGTGTGGCCGGGGCTGGGCCAGTGAGGCCTGTGGGCGAGGTGGCCTGTCCCACGTGTGACCGAGACAGGGCAGGCAGCAGCGGACAGAGGGGTTAGGGCCGGTGGGGGGCGACTGAGACAGTGCGGGTGGGAGAGGGGGCTGGCGCTGAGCAGGGATGGCAGGTCCGGGCGTATTCACCGCGAAGGGGCTGCGGCGGTGCTTTCCGGTGACAGGCTGAGGGTGACAGCGCCCAGGTACTTGGGCCTGGAACAGTGAGCAGCATGGGCTTGGCCCAGCGGGCGGGGGCCGGTCCAGGGAGGTGGCGTCTGGTTTTGGAGGAGCTGAGCTTGAGATGCCCCGAGATGCGGGACGGGGGTGAGGGCCCCGGCGGGCGCGCCGCCGCCTCCCGTCTGTCCCGTGTGTCCCGCTCACTCTGGCGTCCCAGGCAGGGGCGTGGCCTTGTCCCTGAGTGCGCTCGGGGCCATGCAGCCGGGCTGCTGGCAGAGCTGCCTTCCTGACGGCATCGCAGTCTCCAGTCCCAGGGAACAGCCCCTCCCTGCCGGGCTCCCTGGGCCACCCTGGGGCCTCTGACATCGGCTCCCGGAGCTCTGGAGGCGCCTCCCCCGGCGCCTGCCCACACTGCTCCCCACCTGGGCTTCAGCACCCTCTCGGAGGTGGCTGCACGGATGGCAGCAGGGTCACGGGGAAGGGCTCCCTCCCTCCTGGGGACACCCCCCCCCCCCC